ATTTTGTAAACTTGCTAGAAGGGCCGTCGGAAGACGTTATCATAATTTAATACTTTTCTTTATCGTACTACGTAAGTTCATATCAATATTCCGGGCAAAAGACACGCAGAGTGAGTAGCTTTGTATCAGTTTATTTGGAAGGTTTCGTTGATATTTTTTTCGTCCAAGAAGCCGAGGAAACCTAACTCGGATGATGTTTCGACATTTGATGTTTAATCCTTAGACAGTGTCATAACGTTCGTGACTCGCAATATGATAATTTGTATGTAGATTCGGATTTTGGCAGATTCGGATCGCTTTTCTTTAATTCTTCATTTATGGTTTACTGCAATAAGAAAAACCATAAAAGCACACGAGAACAACGGCAGGGAAAAGAAATTTCCTTATTGAAAGCATTTATGATTACTTAAGGGTTGATCATTGGCTCACTGCCATGTATTTCACTAAAGAAAAAGGAAGTTTAGTAGAGCCAAATATCCAAAATTATATATCAAGTTTTAATGCTGAAATAGCTGTTACATTGATGTTTCAGTGTCTAGGATTAGAATGACGTGACGGTGTTGTTCATGAACACGTGCATTCGCATAAGCAAACAAACAAAAAACACAAATAACACAAATAATTAATCTTTTAATTATGTAGCAAACCAAAATGGACATTTATTTTAAATGGGAGATGTTTTAATTTATTTTATAAAGGCTTCTTAAAACTCACAAAAGAAACCCAGCAAGATATGACCAATTGATAACGTTCGTACATGAAACTATCCAAGTGCTACCAAAGCCCATTCAAAGTATATTCAAAAAAGATCATTTCTAATGGTAATTAATTGATTCGTTTTAATCATTTAGTTGTGTTTTTCTAAGTTTGAGTAATTTTTAAGTTTGACACTGCATCAAAGTCAACACTGACAATATTATGTCCTTTGTAGTGGATTAATTTTTGGGTATCAAACTTTATTTCGACAAAAAGCTCAATTTAAAAGCACGATTATGAAATTCTTTATGAAAATCACACGATTTTTATCGGAATAATTGCACCACAAAATACCTAAAGAGAGAAAGCTTACGGGGTATGTCGAGGATTGACAAGTCCGTGGCAGTCGAAAAGGGCTCCCTCGCAGTGACACAAATAGTAGGGTCATAAGAGGTAATAAAAGCATGGACCGATCTGGCTACTACTACTAGCCTAAAGGCAGACGATGGCAGGACCCTCCTTGATCTGCTGCTGTGCATGCTATGCGCATCAACAGAAGAAATATAACTCGCTTTGCGCTAAGAGAGAAGCTGATACCACAGTGCTTTCAAGTTGCAGGAAATGTCATAACTGTTTCCTGCGTAGAGACAACATGATTCTGCAAATTTGTAGGTTTTTCATTCAAAAGAAGGAAACGATTCTCTCGTGTAATGATATAACAATTTTAGTTGCAAATTTACTCTTCTTTAGAACTGTCCTCCTGACGTACAAAAGCGTTTTTCCTGAACAGTTAAAGGTAATCAACGTTTCATTTATTTTATGAGTCCATTTATAGTGTATTAGAGGATATAAGGTGTGACGATCTGGCATCTGCCGTTGCAACCACCGTAAACTTCTTTAGAAACAGTCGTCTGAACCACCAAGACAATTACACAAACGTATATGAGAACGAATCAGGTGAACAAGCAATTTCTGTTCGTATAAACCACGGGTCTTTCTACGCCCTAAAAATTCTATAGCCATCCAGGTGAGGGGCATGCGCATGAGGGGTACTTCAAGTTGCGACAAAGCTGAACATTAAGGGTACCATAGCCAGGAGGCGAAACGGAGCGGTATTATCCCACATAAAGGGTTAGAGACAAAGGGCCTTAAGCTGGCCTAAGTCCTTGGACAACACGTCTGAGACCATGGAGGTGTATGCATAAGTACAACAAAGGAATTTTTTTCTTCTTTGGGGGCTGGGGTACGCGGGGGTCATGAACTTGGTTCGGGAGGTATAAATGGGTCCTTTTGCGGGGCAATGAACGCCCGTAGAATGACTATGGGGTTGGCCTATCTGCACTTTGGGTCTACAGGCAGATGTTAACACACAGGCAGATGTTATGTCGCTAAACAGAAAAAGAACAAATTTCAGCTTCAAAGTTTGGGTAAGTAATGAATTGTCCCTTATGCAATCGGTGTTTTAGTATTTTTAATGAGTGTTCTTAATCTGCCATTTTTGCATAATAACATTTAATTTATCATCATCCTAAAAGCTGTAGTTTGTAGTGGATGTGCTCAACAATGCACGACAAAACAATACAGACAACAGCAATTATAGAATCTGAAATGGTAACATTAATTGGATATACAAAGGTTAAATTAAACAAAGAAACATATAAAATCCATTTTAAAAATATAAGGATGATAACAATAAATAACAATAATGTATGTCTGGCTTTTTCAAGAGCGCAGAAATACTATAGGCGCTAATGGGAATCCTTGGTTTCGCCATAAAATTAAACAATGTATGAAGATTATACATTGAGAAATTGATATAATGAGAGAAAAGGGTTATCCTGGAGCATTTTGTGACATTCTTGACAATAGACGAAGATTGATCGCGGGGACGAACGATAATTAGACTCCAATCGAGCAAGCACAGTAATGTCTTTGTGTTATAGGATCCGTCCGATGCCTTGATCTGCAAAAACGTTTATTGTAGCTGACGTACGGGAAAGGAAAAACCCAATATCGGCTTTCCCTTATTTCTGAAAAGCTAAGACCGTCCAGGAGCCATTTGTAAGAGTGCAAATAGAAACCCAATAACCCCAAATCTCTGCAATTCAACGACCAAATAAAAAGCCCTTGCGATTTAACGGTTAGATTTAAAACTTCATTGGAGCCTATATCCACGGATGCTTACGTATTTTGACAGCTATGACTGAAAGCGGTGATAAATACCGCGTGAAAGGTGATTTTCTGTGGGTGTTGGGGGGTTTTTGTTTGAGCGGTTGTGCCCACGTCGCTTCTGGTTGAGGGCACGGGCGGGATTATTCGCGGTTAAATCGGATCAAAGTAACGGCTGAATGGGCCGCAGAAATATGAGTAAAATCCCACTATAACAGGGCGCAATTAGCTTCTGAAAATGACGGGGAACTTGCCCCGGGGGCCTCTTCACTCTGGGTTGCTTCGCCGTTTTGAACGGCATTATTTTCTCGAATCCTGTGAACGAAGGGATTCTAAATGGCAGGAGCATTATGCAGGGAAGCGCACACCTGTGAATGAAGTTCAAGAGAGGAAGAAAGAGCGAGAGCTGCGGCGTGATTCAAGCCAGCGATCAGTGGGGTTGACCGAGCCTTAATCACCGCCAACTCGGATCGCATCCAGCCCGCTTGCATGGGCCCCAGAAGTAATGCGAATTCCCTCCTTACAGTGTAACACTACACCGCTGATTAGAATTTAATTGAACATGAAAATATTACACGGGATATAGCTGAAAGATTCTGGGCCACGCTTGGAGCGAGAACTCAATGGACACTCGTGAATTGCAAAGCAGCTTCAGTGACGTGGCACTGCCAATTCAGCATCGACAAGTCCAGGGGTCTATTTCAATCCGAGATGAGGTGCACTTTTGTATATTCAAGCAACAGCAGACGAGTATACACAGTGCAGGATCTGAATTTCGCACACAGCCTCGCGATCAATCTTAATTGATGCATCTAATTTTAAAACCCCGAACATGAATTTCTGTAAGCCCAACGGATAGAAAGCATTGCCCTAGATTTTCTTTTCTTTTTTTAACGTTTTTTAATCAACAAGAACAAGGATGGCTACGAAATCACAGAGACAAGGAGCAACACAAGCGCAGATACGTGCTCAAGCGTCTTAAACCCCCTCTTACCGACCTGAGGCCCCTCAGAAAAACAGACATGATCAATTTGGGAGCAGTTCAATTTTGAGACAAAGCAGGCCCCTACATACTTGCCAGGATCGCGCGGACTCCATTTTAATTAGACGTGACCACCGCTGTCTCCAGAAATCCAGCCCGATCATGTCCGCGCAAGTTTTAGGGCGGGTGTGATCTAATAAGCGTGATAGGTGAATGATTTATTTTCCTGTTGGAGAAAGAAGGGGTTGCGGGACCACCAAACTTTAGGTTAACTTTGAAGCGGTTTATTCCTACTCTGACATGATGTACATCATGACAGATCTGTTAATTTAATATTCCGATTCAGCTCATGCGAGCTTAACAACCTATATCAAGAACAAGATTTCCGTTAATAAATACAACGGATGATATGCACCCCCCGTGATGCAGTCACAGATTCATAGACTCTGGCTTCAGTGATTTTATGGAAATGTCCCGAAGATCCACAAATCAATCGGTTGACAAAGAGTATAAACTCGTAAGTGATAGTGGTTCGATAAGGTCTATAATACACTTTGACAAATCGTGTCATTCACGGTTTGATAAAATATCCCCAACGTAACGAGCTTCGTTATAGAAATAAAACTGTAGACTTCAGGATGATGTGTTGGCATAACGGAAATAAATTAATGTGTATACAGAACAGGTTTTTGCATCGAGAGCTTAATAAATTACTGAATACATGTGTATGGAGGCACAAAAATGTGCATTCAAAGATGTGTCTGTTTTTATACACGTACTGAAATAAATTTGAAATTCGGTATTTGGTGGTGCCAGAAGGCCCATACTAAAGCTATCTCTCGCAGTTATCTTAATTATCTTCAAGTTGGAAGTTCGTCCTCCATATTAACAATGGTTTGCAATCTTAGCACCTCGCTAAATATTAAATGAAACGGAACGGAATGTGACAAAAAATCTATCAACCTCCAATCCAGATTTGAGGAACCATTTCTGGTGCAGTTAAAGGAAGGGAGACGAAAACTTACAAAAATCTTAAAATTTTACACTTTAATTAAGACTTTAATGAGACTCCACGAGAAAAGTCAAAGTCAGAAAAACTGCAACTGCGATGTATGATGGCACCGTGCGGTTCATGAGTTTAGATGCTTAATGCTTAATCTCGTGATGGTGCTATGCTTTTTGCATTTTTTTTTTACTTTTTCTGTTCTGCTGGGGGATGACAAAGCCTCCACAATCCATCCATCTTGGTAGTAATTGGAGAATGTTTTCATAAAGAGAGGCCCACCCACAAATAAACAACATAATTAAGCTTCATTTACCACGCCAATGTCACAACACAACCTGACAGAAATATTTAAATACACAAAATTAGAATTAGTCACCGCATTCCTCCAAAATTATCATTCAACCTTTTTCGTTCCAACTTTCGAATGCTTAGAAATTGGCTCAGTAGGGCGTAGCGGATACGACAGCAGGACTCAGTCCTTTCCTAACAAAGGGAGAAAAGAAAAGAAAATTGGGCTAAATACGAAAGCAAACACAGGGGTGCATTTATCCTCCGAGTTCGAATTTACCTGTCAAAAGCCTCCGGGAACACAAAAAGTGACAATCCGCAAGACAAACACATCAGCCTTAGCTGGAGGGCAGCGCGCAGGCCTGACCGGTTTGTGACCAGAAGTGCGATAGGTCATATGACAATTACAGATGCATTCTGGCATTCAGCCATAAATCCTTCTATTTTCATTACAATTAACCTTGCTCAGTGGTGTTCCCGCTTCGGCCCTGAATTCCATTGCACCGTTATAGGTATCTGGTTTTAGATTTACTGGCTCAGTATGTCGACATTCTGGTTCTGTTAGCGTAAAGGAAGACATTTTGGTAAGGTGGTCATCAGCGGACGAGACCTCACACACGTCTGATCAACCACTTGAGAGTCGCAACCTCATGGGCTAATTCGTAAACTTAGCATCTGAACCAATGATATGATCATTTTAAAAACAGATTGACGACCTACCTACAAGAGCAAAAAGGATCGAGTTGAACTTCATGGAAATGAACAATCTTGCACAACTCTTATTATACAAAATGAAGAGTCGGTGTTCATTTTGAAACCATATGCATGAGCAAAGAGAATTCGAATTCCTGTAGGCACTCCTCGTTTTGGCATTCGTGAATATGAAACATTTTGTGACATTCGTGCAATGTTTTTAATTAAATGTGTTCTATAAGCAAAACAATTTTTGTGGATTCCTCTTACCTTAAGATTTTCCTCACGCTGTATTTTCCTTCTTTTCACTGCCAGTTCGATGTGTGCAAATGGTTGCCCGTAGTCGAAACTGAAGGTAAAAAATCGGGAGGGAATTCTACTTCCAGTCACGGTGATGAAGCTGTAGACCTAAACTGAATGCGTAAAAGTACACAATTCAATATAAGTAAAATTGAAGGCTCAAAGTTTGGAAATGAAGCATGAAAGTGACGAGAATGAGAGGAATCCTTGAAGCACGAATGCAGCTTAACGAATTTGCTGCGTTGACGAAGTTGGCTAGAAAACATATATTGAATGCTCCATCACAACAAGGCATTCAATGGGGACTGAGTTGGCAGGAGAATTCGGTCGACATGTGAAACTTTACTGGCTTTTCTCTCCATTTTTGGAACTATTTTTGAAAACACTACCCCCACCTTTCTCCTTAGATAGTAACACTGAATGTTCTTGTCATCGTTACTAGTGACAAGCCAGCTGCCAGGATTCATGGAGGGGTAAAAAATAAAGGGAGCGCAGAAAACAATAAACCTTTATAGGGTCACTGGAGTTTTAGCACAGGAAAACCGCCAGAAGACGTATTCTGACAAGGTGGTGACCATAAACACCCAAAGACACACATTCCAGAAACCTAAAAGTGTCCGATTTTTTTCCTCTTAAAATCTGACGTTTGCGCAATATAGAATTTTGTTCGGGCAAAGGAGTAATAATAAATCGATACTTCGAATAAACTTCGAGCTTCTAGAATTGTTAGATTAAGCACTCTGCATTTATTCGCAGGAATCTCAAAGGATGGAGGGCATCCATTCTTCTTTTTTTCTATGAACAGAACGATGGTGCAGAAGCAGTCAATACTGATTTAACACCTCTGACACACTGAAAATAACACACAGCGAATACATTACCTTCCAATGCTGACTTTCCTCCCCAGCAACCTTGCCACTCTGGCAGGACATCTGTCTTACTATCTGAAGTTTCGCCTAAACATTATGGAAAAGTCACATAAGAGCACGGCTCGGAGCTTTACGCCGACTTGTATTGACCGAAAAACATTTTTACTTTCTGCTTTGTGTGTATTATTCGTGTTGCACCACAAAAACGAACACTTCAGGAAAACCAAACAAGCACTAGACAGCTTTTAAACAGAAGGTGGACGCTTTATAAGAGTTCACTCACGGCGCTCCAACCACCATGGAGAGTTGTATAAAACACTTCGAGTGTCACTCCGTTCACCCCCTCTCCCTTGCGATGAAGCAGTTTAGAAAATCGATTTGCCAGAGAGGCATGCCGAAATTGCAGCTCACATACTTTGGAACGAAGAAGGTTTGCGTATTCAAGTCGATCTCCATCTTGATAAAATATTAAGGAACTTAGATGTGTAAAGGTGGTGGCTACATAGACAAAATATTCAGTCGTACATGACATCTCATTTTGCGCAGAAATTCACATTTTTTTCTGGGATGTTGTAATTCTATGGCAACGTTTTACGATAATTATCATATATTTTGATAGGTTCATGGCAGCAGATACTGTCTACTTTAAATTTCTCTTTTTAATACCCATTTCCATTAGACCAGAGTGATCACGTGGTCGGTGAATGAAAACAATACTACTCAACATGACTTGAACAATTGTCTGGAAAAATAAGTTTATTTCTCATTTTCTCTCTTAGTGCGCAACGCAGAAATGTCAGTTGGGAAAATTATGGGTGAGGCATCAATCAGTGGTAGTCCACTATTATGGAATTCGATATCTGCCGTCGTCCGTCGTCCGTCACCTGTAGCCCGTATTTTTTATATATATATATATTGCTGGAGAAATTGCACCATTACTTGTGGTTGGTGTTTATTTTTTCGGTTCTGTTGTGTAAGTTATGAAAACTTGTTCTCAGGATTGATATTGTTCTTATGTAATACATTCCTTGCACTCTCATCAAACTCCATTCCAAGGTTTACCTCTTATTTCTGTTTTTCTTCTTTATTTTCAAGAGAATTCCACCAGACTGAAGCGTACTATCTAATACGGTATGGTATACACCACATACTGCAATGTGGATGTTATAGTTTAATTCATTCTTACCTCTAAACATGACATGAAGGTATGCAATGTTTCATCACTTGGAGAATTCCTTCTTAGGTTCTTTTGTTGCAGGACTCTGTGCAATGTTCGGAGGCTTGGGAGAAACCCCCCAAAGCAAAACAAAACAAAACAAAACATAAATTTCAATCAATAGCCCGGACACTCATGTATCTAGAAACAGAAATTGGGCTTACAACTTCTCTGTTTTTTATACCACAGAATATTTGCTTAAAAGAATATTTTTTAAATGAATGGAGGGGGATGAACTTCTCGGCTTCTGTTTTTTTATAAACAGTGATCAAATGGGTTGCATATGACCTGCCAAAACCAGGGTTTAAACACCGTTATAATTCCGTTCACATCTACGGATCTTTTCTCAATAAGGCAAGTACACATCCCGCCTGCAAAGTATATACCAGTCCCATAATTAATGTCAATCATGCTAGACTATCCCTGCCCCTTGACAAGAAAATGTCACCTTTCTCAGAATTTAACCTAGTGTTTTTAGGGGAAACATTTTTAGGAAAAATGTTTAGGTAAACTTATCCGCAGTGCAATTTACGACGGGCGAAAATGGCAGAATTGGGACACAACAAAAAGCAAGAGGCGACCGACGACGGGCGAGGGGCGACGGTAGATATGGAATTCCATATACTACCACCGATACCTTTGAGAGTGTTTCTGCGTAAGTGCATGACTCCCTCACTTGTGTGTGCCCACACGCTGGAGGCGCTATGGGAGCACGTTTGATTGGTAGTATTGGATGTTGAGAAAAAGCAACTTTTTCAATTTTTTTGCCAGATTTGCTGGGATAACAGCAAACTGTGGGTCCAAAGTTGTTCTAGGGTGGTGAAAATCCACGCATTAAGGGAAGGGTCCGACTTTTTCCATTTGCAAACATACAGCACTTTTCTCCGCACGCCGCCTACGAGTAGTCAACGCGCAAATTTGCCGTCGACCGACGCTTCGCTTGAGGAACAGGTTAGCATGCAATTAATAATTTTAAGAGCGCCCCCAAGAGGCTAGATTTCAACTCCTCAAGTAATGTAGTTCTTGAATGCTGCCTCTCGATGAAAGGTGTAGCTTCAAATTGAAATTTGTACATTTTTATTTTTTTTCTTTTTAACATTTACAGGCTATTTAGCCCACCTGGTGCGTCTTCTCATGGCTATTTTTCTTTTTCATTCTGTAACTTTATATTGGTTTCTGTATATGTATTTATTACAGTTTAGCACTCCATAACACCAGGCATTGTTCTTTGCAAGTACCCAAATTCACATTAACAACCATTCGTCATATATTATGAAAGTGTAGTAACTTTTAGATGGTAAAATACTCGCATGAGCGGGCGAAATACTGTAGTGCCTGGGTGAATATGGTCTTGTCGATCATTATTTTGCCACGGTAGACAGAAATCTAATTGCATATTTGCAACTGAATAATGTCAATCCGTGTAAAATGAAATTTGGTCTTGTCACCGTTCAGTAGTGAAAAAATAATTAAGATTGTTATAATCAATAATAAAGCCCGTGATCAAGAGTGACGTAATTATTATCCTTAGTGGGAAATACATTGCCCTAATTGTGCTCCCCATGTTGAAACATACAAATTCATTGGTCATCTAAGCACGTATATTTCAATTTAGACAACTGCTCAGGCTGGTACAGATGGGGGGATTGATTGATCTTACAGGATCAACCTAGTATTTATTTTTTCAGTAAGTGATATCATATAACCACTTTTAACACCACCAATAGTGACTCAAGTGATTTTTCTTTCAGTCTAATAATGCACGTTGTGCCTTCTAACGAGACCAAGATTTCTTAATTTTGGTAAATTTCACAAGTGACAGTTCAATGCAAATAGACAAATATGGCGACAAAATACACAATAAAGTTCATTTACTGCTAGATTTTGAAACAGATATTCCCCTTTGGCTCTTCTTTTTCAAAGTGTGTAAAAAAATGTAGCTTCATCTCCTAGAACGGCCATTACAGGTTACATTCAATAAAAGCTAAAATGTTTAGCCCCAAAATAAGTTTGGCCCTAGGAAAATTTGGTTCTGGATCTGCCCTTTGCCTTTTGCAAGAAATAAATAAATAGATAAATAAAATCTTAAATGGAGTTCTGCTCCTGCGGAAGGCCGAAGTATACATGTTTCATTTTATTAGTTGTCGCTCGGTAAAAACGTCTGTTCTGTGGAGAAAAACGGCACCAACATCAAGTTTCTGTTCAAATTTTGTGTTTGAGAGAAGGGAAGTTCACACACACACGTACATATAATTTGCCCAGTGTGTGTATGTCAACCCTGAATATCAAACAGAAATAACAGTTCCTGTGTGGTTTTGCATACACGGGGTTTTGCACGGCATAAAGGAGACAATGGACCACCAGCAAAAAGACTCCGCCCCCAATTTGCAAAGACCGTCGCTGCGTGACTGACAGAAGTCTGTATAGGGCCTGAACTATCTTAGTCGACGTACGTCTGTAGCTTAGCACGCCTTCCAACATTAATACCACCCAAAATATCCGTTCCCCCCTTGTGTGTGCATGGAAATCCTGTCCAGTAAAAAGCGTGTGAGGGCTAGGAAGGGAGCTCCATTTGTCGGTCCAACCCACCATTCACATCGCTGTCGCCGCGTTGCATGAGCGGATCGAACAAGAAGTCCAACCGGTGTGAATCGTATGTGCCCCGTTTGCTTTCGCTGCGAGCTCCGCTGGCAATCTACCGTTGTGAGTCAGGCAGGCTCCACGACCAATTTGAGGATTTTCAGGGGAGTCTCCTGGACTTGTTTACTTCTGTTATCACTGGAGTGCTTTTGGCCAGAATTAGTCTGCGGTGATTTTTTCGTAAAAATCAGGTAAGCTTAAATGGCATAACTGTTTTGGCATAACTGTATGCAATACAGTATGATGTGGCTCAAACCAGTTTTAACTTTCGATATGATAGCGTCTTAACCTTTCACAACTTTTCTTAACAAAGGTTTTGAAAACAATATCAAAAGAGGAAAGTCTATTTTTTGTATTATTATTTCCTTCTATCCTTCCTTTTGCGGAACTCGTAACATGACTCAGTGGTTAATGGTTGTACTATGAAATTCCAATAGGCTTTTCTTTCACCTGTTTGTTTTTAGTTTATTTGCTTGTTTATTCGCTTGCTTTTTTGCTTTTTTACTTTCTTGCTTGCTTGCTTTTGTGTTATCTGCTGTCCTTAGATGCCAAGGTTCTCTCCAAATTCGTGAGGGCAAACAACATTTTTCTGTTATCTGTTCAGTCTTAAAGGGGCTTGGGTACAGTTCATCTGATGGCAACAATTCCTTGTGTTTACGTTAGATGTTGTATTTCACAAAGTTTGCTTCGTTTACGTTCAGTTCAGGTTTCTCCCACAGTCGTGTATGCTTCTTTCAGACGCTTAGTGCACTTAGCCCTGCCGAAGTTAGGATTTTTGTCAAATGCCGATAAAGCTAATTCAAATGAAGAATCATATGTGATCATTTGTTACTTCATTGGTAGCATTTTAAATGTTATTCTAATTCTTTGTAGTGTTACATGGTAATTTTTACAGGATATTTTTGCGACGTTCTTCCGTTTACTACGGTAAAAGTTTTCCAATGGGCCTTTTCTTTTTCCATGCTGCTCATATTTTTGCAGCGCATAGGTCCGCGGGATAACCCAGTATACTAAGCAACTACTTAAGTCGCGCTTACAAATTAAGGGGACGAACCTAATCCCTTTGCTTTTTCTCCATATTTAGTTACAGTAATGAAAAAATGTAGAAGCACCCCCCACCACACACACACACACACATAGTACACACTAGCCGCTTCAGCCGGCATCTCGGTCAGTAATCGGAACAATATTTGGTGCCATATGGTTGCCAGCAAGCCTCTGCCTGCCGTTTATTGGTATAATAGACATATTGCCGCCGGCTCTTTGCATTCACCCCCTCAGTTGTCGTCTGCCATTTCCCGCAGAAACAAATCTCGGGGAGATCTGTACAAGTGAAGCAATCACATTTTGCCGCTTTTAGGTGTTAATCGTGTAAGGCAAACAATCCTTAGTTTTTGGTGATTGAGATCCGAGGGTTTAAGCCTGTATGGTACCAGCCGGGCAGGACTTAACATCAATCAAGAAACAAAAAACTATCAGAGCTTAGGACATTAAATCTAGACTGCGTCAAAAGGGATACTTGGGGGGTTGATTGAGATGGCTTTCAAGCGCCGAATGAACCGAGACGATGCGCATTATTTGAGCGGGACAGAAGACACGATAGACGGTCGGCTACAGTCACTAGACACGGTCAGAATGATCTTAAAACAAGAAAAACGCAGTACTGGCTTTTTAATTTTGACGCCATGGAATTGTTTAATCTTTCGCACATTTATTTTGTATGGTGTGTTAAGTAGCACAAGTCTTCTTGTAAAAGAAAATCGTTCATTATTTATCACAATAAAGAACTACGGAATAGGTGTAGGCCTATATTTAGTCTTTATTGATTTTGTAGCATGTAATATGCCTTTGGGACTGCTACTTGAAAAGGAATTTTGAGCAAAGACTGACCCAGATGTCGAAAATGGAATGTTAAAGAACTTGTCAAAATTTATTTCCAAGAACATCTTTGCATGGGTGTAGTAACTGTCACGTCACTCAATAAGCTTTGATTTATCAGTTCCAACCAAAAAGTCCATCCATTTGAATTAAATTCTTTTTGACAATGAAAAGCATAAAATCTTGATCACGGACGTAGAGATTGTGTAACTGTGGTCCCGAAGGAATACCCCCATTGCAACCTGTCTTTCCATGTCGCATCCTCCAAATCAATCAAATCACCTTTCAGTCAAAACTGTAACAGAACAGTTTCTCGCCCAACAAAGATGCACACGCCGGTCAGCTCGACAAATGACATTATCCTAAATAATAGAGACGTTCAGAAGTGATATCGGCAACCCTTTCATTTGATCTGATTAAGCTGGAGATAGTACGCTTCAAAGTATCCCTCCCCTCTGATGTGTTCATTTCCCTGTCAATCCCCCCCCAAGAAAAGATGTCTCGTGTGGGGACTCTTTCGCAGAAAAGGTCTACCACCACCAGCAGCCCACCGACCGATTGGTTTTCAACACGGCCAAGCCCCGTGCGTCCGTGCGGTGAATACGACCCTTCCTTTTCCCGTTTGGGATTTTGCTTCAACCTATATTATAACCAGTCAATTCAACTATCAACTTCGAGAAGAATAGAAGAGAAAGGAGAAGAGAGAGCGGGAAAATTGAGTAAATTAAATTGTCTCCCATTTCACTGAGCAATTGTCGACGTCTGTTGCCCCGAACTTGAGAGTGACTTTGAGCGTTATTGAATGAAACCACTTGGCCACCAACCGTTGGTTCGACTGGTTGGAGGAGAACCCAGCCGGCGTTAAAGTAAACTAGGCCCATCTGTCGTCTTAATGCAATGGCGTGCTAGGCCTTGTGATAATACTTCCATTAAACTGGTGGTCTTATGGTATAAAAGGCATACAACCTAACAAATATGACTTCCCGTCGACCCAGAGGGAGTACAGGCGCGATGTGTTGGGAAGGACGAACTGGAGGGCTCTCCGTCAAATGCACACGTGTAGGGATCCATTGGTAAATATTTGAAAGAGAAATTATAATACAAATAGATATCCACATGCGCGAATTCGTAGCAATGACTCTATGACTGTAGCAACTTCATAAAAGACCTAGTGTTGTTACAGTTATTTATATTTAACTTGTTACTCTGTTGGTCATTTTTGGGGGAGGTACGCTTTAAAGGTTTGCTTAGTTGGAATTAAAATCAACACAATAGTAGTCTCTAAACTTCCACGTAGTCTGACACATGAGTATATGGAAAGACTTTGAAGTGACCGTATCATATAGAGTGAGTCTTGTGTTTTTGGTTTGTTTGTTTGCTTGCTTGCTTGCTTTTTTAAGTTTTTGAAAGAATGTATATCGACTTTGGATGTCTGGCTTCGTTTGTCATCCACATTAAATATAGGAATCCTTCATATTCGAGCTCCCCAATACCTCAGCCAATTCATCCCCCTCGAACAAACAGGTTGAGTTCTAAGATCCTCGGTTTCCTACCTTATAACAGAGTGTACCTTCGCCAAGGCAGCACCCACCATAACATCGCTGGATATCTTCGAGAAGAAACTGAAATCCCATTTACTCCACTAGTTATATTTCACTTTTACCGTATTACGATTGTGTCCGTAGGCGTCTTGATCGGATCTCTGGACATCTGTGCGCTTTATAATCTATATATTATTATTACTAAGGTTATAAACTCAATTGTGGATTCAGCTTTTAAAGAAAGGGCGCCCAGCGTTATATTGGGAAGGCAAATTGGGTGATAAGAGAGGAGTCTTCCTTTCGGTGGTACTTTTTTTTTACATTTTGGAATAATCAGTTTCCAAAAAAACAAAGGAAGGAAAGGGCCTCTTAAATAATAATCGAAAACTAGGACGCCACGTTGATCAACGTACACTTGTATTTTGGGAAAACTCGGCATCGCAGTGTACGCTTTCAATCTAATACTCTGTTAAAAGGGGGTTGGACCAGTAATGAGCTCATCTATCCTCTCTACGTCCCCTTTTTATTCTGTACTGAATTTAGATGGGTACCATTTTTCAGATAGTAAATAGCTTTATGTTGCACGTCTTGGAACTAGACAGAAAGAAGTTTGGGGGTCGGGGCAGACCATCAGTGTTGTTGTTGTTCAGCGTTTTATCGCAACCACGCAGACTAGTTGTCACTGTACGCCGCAATTGGTCGATCTGCATCATGATTGCACTGTCGCAGTGCACCATTGGTCGATCCTGTAGGAAATCTCGGACTTAACTTCCCACGTTTGGAAACAATCTTCCACAAATGAATTAAAAAGAAGAGGTGATCAGCCAATGATGGAATCAACTACAGATCATGCCACAAGATCGACCGATCGCGGAGAGATCAGCGGTCGCGCAGATCACAATTCGCGGCGAACATTCCTATAGTTTGATTAACCTTGCACTTTAGAGGATTTTTGTCTCTTTCCAGTTTATTCAAAATACACAGACAGATGCTTGTTTCAGTTGAAACCATAAATATCTGCAAAGCTTATATTTGTAGGTCTCGTTGATATTGCTTTAGGCTTGACTTGTTTGACTGTCTTATGCGCTTGGACAACAGCAGCTGCAGAAAACTGACCAAAAAGTTGACTAAAAGAATTGTTGTTACTTCTTTTGGCAGTATTTATGTCGCAGTTTCAACAAAAATAGATAGAATTATTTGATGTTGTGTGTAATTTATCCTTTGTTAACTATTAATAAAGAAGAAAAAGGAAAACAAGAAAAAGAAAGAACAAAGCCTAGTCACCTCACCACTTTTGCAGCCAACCACAGATCAGAATCCGGACACTTCTTTTGGCCTTAATCTTCACTAGAAGTGAAACAAATATTGAAGGAAACATTGTCTAAGTTAATGAAAATTTAAAAGACTCCCTGCATTAATTTATAAAATGTTTTGCTTAATCTATTGTGTTCAAAAAATTTGGCCTTTGATTCCAGAATTTTGAGACAAATGTACGAGTGTCTTATTACAGACTGAGACTCCCAAATACATACACATTTGTAGATTATTTTAAAGCCCTAAACCTTATCGTCACGTTATCTCTCACTTTTCAGAATCCACAGTCAATATTTTAGCCCATTATGATGCAGCATTTTAACGGCTATAATCCCGCCACTTTGGGCGCCATGGGCGCCATGTATAGCATGCATCAGCAGGCTTTGCAACTACATCCAGGCTATCGACCCTCAACGCACGCTCTCTCATTGGCTGAGCGACTGGCAGGTGAGGTGCAATTTGTTTCTTTGTGAACCTTTCAAAATTTCAGCATAGTAACAAATGCAAAAAAGTGGATCAAGAGATCAACAGAGTAACTTGCTCTTTATTGACCCATGAGTAAAAGACAAAAATCATTTCAACTGATGATGAGCATATCGCAAATGAGTTTAAAGTACGCAAAAGACACATATAAAAAAAAAGAGATTGTGTCTACTTTAAGAAATGTTGTCTTTGAATTTGAAACACATATGCACAGAGTATAAAGTATAGTTTAGCTTTTAATTAAGGAACTTTCAAGCGTTACACCGTCTATACCCATCTACAAACCAGGATCCCTCTGGGCAAAAGTAACCAAGCCTCCAGTCGCACTTCATGACAACCCGAGAAAATCGCCTCCGGAACACGGGAGAACTTTGTGTTTTGTCGGATTCGAATACCCCGTCACTATATCAACTTACTCACCGTCTCTCGCTCCCGTGCAAGTCCAGCCAAACAATTGATCCATTCTCCTGTTTGTTTTCTCACGGCTCGCCCCGCATACGCTCCGAACAAACCACCAAATGCAGGGCCATTCACACCAAATATTTTGATTTCCCCAAGACCCTAGCTAATCCGAGCTCCACTCTTTTTGGACACCATTTTTTTGTGTTCTAGGATTTGCTGTTTATAAGACTGCCAAACAGTTGATTTCTTCTTGATCTTAGTCTTTCTTTCCCGATGCCACCTGCAAATTTGTTTTCAACTTTTAGGGGTTGCCACGAAGGGGAAAAGGCGGAAGAAAATAGAAAAATGCACTGGTTTGGAATAGATACGTCTTTGGGGAATATTTCCACCGTCGGCTATTTCACAGAAGCCTTGCTAATGCGCGGATTTTAAACTGTAACTTGAGACAGGCTTTTTTGTATTGGAATCGGCAGATTGTGTATGGCAACATATACATGCAAGGAACGGGACTGACACGGATTTGTCGTGCCTGCCCACACGGGCGAATCCTCGCACATTATCCTGGCCAAGTCAACGTACTTGGTAGACTATTACTTCAGGTCACACACCTGCCGGTGTTACTGAAAACGTTTTACACCCGTGCTAAAGGCCCCTCTTTTTCTTTCGATTTCTTTTATCACCTTCACTTTTTGCAGATGTTTTAAGTTAAAGGTGCACATCACCTGGAATCACCAAATTTCAATGTTTTGGGCCCTCCAAAGGTCTGAGTGAAAGAAACTTAACCTTACGTCTTACAGTCAACGAGAAATATGAAAAAGAAAAGAACTGTATACATCCGATGCGGCAACTTGCGTAGGCCTATACGTATTTGCAGCAGTTAATACAAACGATCAAACTAGGAGCATACATGGCTACCCTCGTCAATGACTAGGGTCAATGTTGCAGTTCATTTTGTCGCTTTCTCCTTTTTCTCGTTTCTCCTGTTTCATCATCCTCTTCTTTATTTATTGTTGAAAATTACATGATGTACATGTACAACTCAACGTCCAGAAAGGTGTTTCTTTTGCACGATAAATGCTATATACTATAGGCAAGTTTCGTTCAGATGTACATGTAGTAGTCCGAGTCTCAGGCCGGTTGGTAGCTAGCTGCACAAGCCATATCAGCCGCGGGCAGCGTGCGGCCGAGAAGTGGACGCGTAATCCAAAGAACGTTATATGCAAGTTTCCCTTATTTCTTTATTTTGACACAATGCATGGAAGACTTGAAAACTGCAGTCATTTAATGAGAAAAACGCTGGCTGGATTTCAGTTTAAGACCTCAGAGGGGCGAGCACGTACATGTTCTTTTGATATTTGTAGGGAACATGTATCACTGGAACTAGGACTAGTCCTTTTGGGAGTTACAGTTTGGATTCTCGAAATTCAGTCCCTTAGCAAGCAAACAAATCCCGTACATTTCGATGGTATAATTGTAAGAACTATTATATTCCACCTCTGGATGATTGTTCCAAATATTAACTTTTGATAAGGAACACTTTTTATAGCCCAAAGGGCACAATCCAGGACGATGAGTACACTTTTAATGATGATAAACATTTCCATAGCACTTTTTACTGCTACATTTACGTTGACTTCAGACATTTTTCCGTCTCTCTGTGCCTCTCCTTGGTGGTTTATCACGTTTGATGGCTCTTGCGTTGGAACTTTCTACCTCTGAACCCCTCACGTTACTACGCCACTAAACACCCCGTGTCTCCAAATATATTTTTTAAAAGTACTTTCACATGAAAATTATGTTTCTCATTCTAAATCTCTTTTATTATAGTTATTTTTGTCAGGTATTTTTGGCAATACAACTTCCACATGTTGAAATCCTGAGCTAAAGCCTTCATACTCCAGTCTCCATGTTGCAATTTCAGACATAATTCTTGAGGCCCGCTATGGTGCCCACAGAAAGCAACGGCGCAGCCGCACTGCGTTCACCAACCAGCAGTTAGCCGCACTGGAGAAAACATTTGCTAAGACACATTACCCAGATGTAGTGATGAGAGAGAGACTCGCAATGTGCACTAATCTGCCTGAGGCGAGAATACAGGTATGAAAATTCATTTTGGGTCTGTTCACAACAATTGGTCTTCTTTTGAGGGGCAGTGTGACGGTACCTTGCATGCTACATGAATAGATTATGTTAAGGGCTAAGGTGAAATTGTTGTATCACTTGTTCGCAAAACAGAGCAAGCAAACGCAAACATGAAGACTCATCACGCAATATCGCCAAAAACCAGACATTGCACGCTCAATAGGAGCCAATATTTCTAATGTACATGTACGTCTAAGAAACGAAAATTCTTCATTGGGGTTTTCGAAATACATGTATATTACAGCTAAACGAATCTCTCATATACAAGAAGGCAATATCAGTGGTTAGGTAATTTGTTTATTATAAGCCTTTTCAACTTCGGTTTGTAAATCTGGGAATCAGGGCTCCAGATTTTCGTCTCCAAAAATACAAAAATGCATTTGCCATTTTACACAGGCCCTGATGGTTGCGTTTTCCCCGTTACACCTGCTGCCAGTGAACTTTCCAGAAAGCTTGCAAGCTTTCAGGCAAATTGCTTTAACTTGCATTAACATCATTATAAATGGAGCAGTTGTTAGACCACACGTCCTTTTTTTAATTTCTGTAAAAAATGGCACAGTAATTGAATATTTACACTTTCCCAAGCTTCTCTATAGGAAATAAGGTTCCTAATCCGCAAATTGCTTTCAAGTTCGCAGTCAGCGCGTAATGTGACACATCAGTTTAGGGAACTGCCTGGGAACAAAAGGGCAAACTAGAACTCTTGAGGAACGTTCATTGTGACACAGCGATTCAAAGGGAGTCCTTGTTGGTGTCTTGCGATTTTAAGAGGATGCTTTTGAGAATGTGCTATGCCTGGGGAATTGGGTCATTAATCAGAAATATTTGCATGGTAGTCTAGTTGCCAGAAGCCAAAAGTATTTCCTATTTTGATGGAACGACTTTTGTATAAAGCTGAAGTGTTCTTATTTCTTTTATGTCAGAAACGAACATTAGTGCGCAATCGGTAGTAAAGTACATACTACTTAAGCAATTAAGTCGAGAGTTTGTGTAATTTTCAACATTCTTAATCATCGGAATATCACAAATAACATCGTATATGACTTGTAATAGGTCTGGTTCAAGAACAGACGAGCAAAGTTCCGAAAACAACAGCGAAACAAGGCCATTGCGGAGAGGGACGCAGACGGGAAAGAAGCGGGCGAAGATAACGACGATGAGAGAGAGACGGAGGAGGTAAGCAGAGGTGCCGTATCACCCCATACAGACCTTGATGAACACCATGACAATGCCAGAGATCACGCAGAGGAAGATCTCCATTCCGAGGACGACGGTGAGGGGGACGAAGATTCAGGTGAGGCTGAGGCTGATGAGTCCTCTAGCGAGAGGTATACTTCAGCCGAACAGCACCTCACTGTAGATGGCCCCCGTGAGGCACCATCCTCGCCCCTTCGAGACTTTGAGAACAACAACACGAAGAAGCTGGCTGGTACCACAGTGGTCCCCTGCGCCGCCTTGGAGGCTAGACGCAGGGACAGCCCACAGGTCATCTTGAGAAGCGACGAGGGGACCAAGAATTACGATCGGGAAAGGAAACAGGAGGTGGTGCAGGAGAAGGAACCCTATGAGAGGGCCTCTCCCGGGGCATCACCTTTGATACCAATGTCTGAAGATACACCAAAATCCATTCCTTCGCCTCTCAGACCATCCGTATCCATCACGACAATGCAAAGTAAGTTTTACATTTCAACGAATATTCCTTTTCCTCTGTCTGGTTATGTTACTTAATCATAACCTGGAGGGTATTCCAATCTTGCTTTGTACGAAATCCCAGTTTGTACTTTGGACTTTTAAGCAGAGCATAGACCAACTGTGTTTCCTTTTCTCCTATTAATGCAAAACACTATTTAGAATTGTATTTTGCAAATATCTTTTCAGATCCCCTCAGCGGCTTCCTTGGCACTCCACACACAACGACCACTTTCCCAGATGCCATGGGCTTCCCACACTTCCGAGGAGCAGGTCAATTTGGTGCATTCGACCCCAGTTCTGCAGCCCTGCTGGCCCGGCCCGGCATGCCACCGGCCTTTGGACACTTCTCCGCCCTCTCCGGCGACCGACAGTCCGCCAATGCTGCTGCAGCTCTCTCTGGATTCTATTCTCCCCACATGGCCGGCTTCGCAGCCACATGGTCTCCGGCACACTTACTGCCCCACATCTCTCCAAACGGAGTGTCAGCAGCACTGGCCATGCCGCACAATATGCAAAGTAGCAGCATTGAGAATCTGCGTATTAGAGCTAAGCAACATGCAGCCGCATTGGGTGTCAACATTGGCGACTGATGAACCCGCTAGGGATGAACAACAACCAAATTTTTATTTTTAAACTACTGAAGTGGCAATTGCCGACCAAACTTTTAGTTGCACAAAATACGCTTAGATGATAATTTACAAATGGCTTTAATGTGTATTCAAAATTGCCCCTTTTTCAAATGTAACGAATTAATGTCCTCTCAACATATTGCAATCGCTCACCTATATTTGTTATTATGTATATGAGAAAATCCAGATTTCCAGTATGTCAAAAATATTATTTTTCCTCAGGTTTCTCCTACAAACCCAAAAGAAGTTGCATGCATCCTGTATAAATAATTATGTAACTATGCCGCCAAAACAAAATTACGTAAACAAACCGACGATAATCAGAAGACAATGCAGCTGATGTGCGTTCTGCGTGATCTGGGACTCTACCTAAAGTGGTATTAGCTATTGGGTTGGCACAAGAATTAATCCTTTATAAACAGCTGTTTTGTATGATCGTATTTTGGTGTCAAACATACTTAAACTTCAGTCACTCATCTTTAAATAAAATAAAGTAAGGACAACGAAACCATCGACAGAGAGTAAGCGGTTTGTGTTTGAATTAATACAGTATGTATAATTTTAACAGAATTCAAAAATAAAACAATCAGTTTCTTTTAGTATGATTTTAAAAGTCTTTCCAAAGGTAACGCAGTGCCGCAATATTAAGAACTTGACTGTTAACTGTTAAGGTAAACAAAAGGTTTAGAACATTTTATGTGTATACTTCGGCGGTTGTGTTACATATTACTTAGGTGTAAATATTTAGTATGCTTAATGCAGTGTAACAATGGTTCACTCAGGTGAAGCATAGTGGTTTAAAATGCAAACGGGTTTGATAATAACCTGCAGTGATACAGTTACAAACAAGAAATTCTTCATCAGATTCATTTTTGGTCACAATAGCTCCAATAAAATAGCAAAATAATTCAAAAACTAGAATTAATATTTTGACATTATTCATGAAACTAACAGCATTTAACTTGGCGTAAAGTGATTAACCTGTACGTGTACATACTATTTCCTCCCACTGATAAACTTCGTTACAAATAGATGTTCTATTGCATAAACAAAAAAATGACCAATTGGCTTTTTGGTTTCGTCAGCGAAAAACAAATCTCTTCAGCCTATTCATACCTGTAAACAGGGGCATGACCAAAAAGAGTGCAAAGCTTTGACCGGGGGCATAGTTTTCAGCAATATCAAAGTGACATCCATTGTAAACAGGATTCAAATCTAAGGTATTTTTACACAATTTTTTTATATCAATCTCCTTTTCTCCTTTCGTTGTCTCGTCTTTTCCTCTTTATTTGTATTTTTTTCCATGGGGCAAGCGCCCCTTTGCCTCCTATATCGGTTTTGACACGGTTAAATTCACCTTAAACCAACAGAACTGAGAGATCCATTATGCTGATAATTGTGAATTTAATATTTTGCTTTTGATTTAAAAGCTGAAACAAGGTTCTTGGTGTGTATTCCCTTCTGGTAATACTGCATAGCAACGACATAATATGTCTTACTGCGTTTTTTACTTCTGACTAGCATTTGTAGAGAAAATACTTTTGAGTAAGAATTTTATTTTTAAAGGTTTTTTGTGAAATAAATTCTGCGAAATAGTGGGCTTATCTATTTGAAATTGCGATGATTAAGATTACGGGCTATTTAAGCAAAGATTTTCCTAAATATGAGTTTTGCAATTGTTATCTTTCAAAACCTGTGTATATTAACAGAGATCTGACTAATTAAACTATTCTCCAGAGACAACAATAATAATATTGGCATTGAATGACGTAATATATTAAAGTAATTATAAGCCTTGGTATCAAACTCTTCTTATTTAATCAATTCAGCAATTATATTGTTTCAATTAGTAATTTCTTTTTTCACTCTAAAAAAACGATAGGATTCAAATATACGTTCATAATCTAGCCAGTTTCAAGAAACTGGTGTTTCTGTCAGGGGAAATATCCAGTACTTTTCTATCATGCATCATACCAAAAAATGTATTTAATCGATTTCATTCCGTGGATCAAAATTATCCCTGTTTTGTAACAAAAGTGAGAGAAATGATCGGGGGTTTTTGTCATTGTCGTATAATTTCATTTTGGTTAATGACGCCCATAACGAAAACCAGTTTTGCATCAGCTACACATTTTTTCGGACTCCCTAAACGAGATCTAATCTACTGATTGATGCAGCAGCTAAGTTATTAAACTCTAACTTTTCCTTTACCTAATCTCTCTCATTAATGACGCTAAATGTCTCAAGCAATTGAGGAGTGTTTTTATTTTTTTTCACTTTTTCATCTTCCAAATACTACTTCGTGTATTTTGTACTGGAGAGCACTCTCTGATGCAATCAATCTTCTTCTGCTATTGTGGCCGTGTGATTAATGACTTTAATGACTGGTTTGCCAGTCAAAGAGCGATCATGCAACAACTTGACCACCAACCGAAAAGCTCCCCAGCTCGTGACCGGAATAATCAAAGCCTAATCATGCTACAATTCGGCCATTGCCTAAACAAAAAACCAAAAATAAATAAATAAATAAAAATTCTAAAAAATCAGCACATCTTCCCCTGCCTGTTTCAGAAATGTGACTCAAAGACTAACTGTATTTGCTCCGGGGGTAAATATTTCAAAGGGAGAAAAACCTGCAAATTATGCGGTTGCACCAATCGCGACGGATAATGCGGGACTTCAAGCTTAGTCGTAGATGGCAGAAGAACTGGGTTGATCATGAACGTGTTGAATCTGCCACCACTTAGTGGTTCGTTTGTTTAACCGTCTGTCAGCCTAAAAAGAAAGAACAAAGGCAAACTAGGGGATGGATTGCCTCTTATTCCCCCTTCTGTTTTTAGCGAGTACAGACGATACACGGGAACAGTGAAAAGGGATGGATAAGTGGAACGGTAAACTCTAAGCGCTGATGTGACGAGGGGATGAGGGGCGACGGGCCGCTGAATAAGCACACAGGACAAGATGGCTGGTTAAAGAGCTTTGTGTCGGGATCCGATTTGGAAATCGTTAAGCTAAGAAAATATCTTCTAGCCTTTTCTATGGCAGCGTTCCGGGGTAAAGAGCAAAGAAACTTAAGAAATAGTGAAAAATTACAAATGAAGGAAGGAAGAAAATAATAGGACGCTGAAAAAGCTGAAATTCCTAAGAATGCCACCCCAACCACAGCAAACACGCACATTTTTGCATACGTTTTTATCCAAGGTCCACATTTTGTCTGCAGCACACCTGCATCCGATTGATGGATCACATGTCATTAAGTTATTCGTTCTTTTCAATCATAGCACCCGTTTAAAGGAACTTTATTTCACATGACTGGTTCTAACAGAAGAGGAAATATTGAAAGTCAACGAATCAGTCGACGAGAACTTATGCAGGTATTTTATAAATAAATAATTTTCTATTCCACAAGGTTTTCACCCCATAATATTATTCTTATCGTTGTACTCATGAACGTTTATTATTTGTTTACAAATAATCAAGTCCCCCGACGAATTTTTTTGTTTTGTCTTTTTTTTTTTTTTTTTGCTTTAGGGCCTACAAGGAATACCTTATACGTGAGTAGCAGACAAAGTAATCAGTATTAGCACCGAAACCCTGAAAAACACCAGCAAATAAAACCAAGGATGTCGGGACAGTGAGTAAGGCTTCCCCAAACTGCATTCGATTTTGAATTCCCCCCCCCCACACACACACACAATCCAACATCAAAAGCTGGATACACTGCCGATGATGTGTTGTGTGCCCAAGCTCACTATCGCCCAACATTTTGTTGGTGTGAACAGCCGTCACCGCGCCCACCGCGTGCATGCTCCCCCCACCTTTTCTCTGTGCGTGAAAAGCAGCGACTGTTCCCACCACGCATACCGCGGCGTGCACACAGTTCAGCGGTGTAATATTATTAATAGGGGAAACATAAAAATGTAAACAGTACTAACCGGAAGATGTTTGATACTAGATGTGCAACTAGATCCAAATATGTTCTGGTGAGTGCTGTCTCAATTTTAGTTTTATCCATTCTCCAGTTTCCCTATTTTTCAGTTCATCGGTATAGCTAAACAATTGGGTTTTTTAAGAGCCGTCAACACACTCTTTGCGTGCACGCGTACAGTGCCATGTTCTTTCTGTTCGAAGAGCCACAATGGACCACTTCACTATGTGCGCCTGTGCATAAATAACACGGAGGCAAATAAACTTGAACAGCCCACTGAAAATGTACAGAGGGCACAAATTCCAACATCATTTCTCTCAGCTTCTGCACCTTTTTCACTTTCGTCTTCGGACAACCCGCTAAAATCATTATAGCTATTACTGTCTGGTCTAAAAGGATTTTACGCAGCGCTAAATTAAAAAAAAAAAAAACCAAAAAAAAAAAAAACAGTCTTTGCTTTCTCCCAGAGCGCACGACGTCAAAAGAAATTAACAGGGTTCCTTCCGAATCGGTGCGATTAAATAGTTTTGTACGTCAGAGTAGTATGCACCATTCGTACAACGCTGAATCGTGGGCTGAACGGAGGGTGAATTGTGAGGTAGCTTCGACTGGTTTAGGTTTTGTTTCGCTACTTACGTTGTCGACCGAGAATGGTGGTTAGCATCTTAACGTATCGCACGATTTGTTTTATAGCTCACCTTGAACGGAACTCAACTGTTTTCTTTCGCCCTTGTACGACTCCAACGAACGAATTTCTTTTCTGTTTTGCTCTCCGAAATTCCTATTACACCAGAAAGTAATAGCTATAATGATTTTAAGGGGTTTTCCGAAGACAAAAGTGAAAAAAATGCAGAAGCTGAGAGAAAATGACGTTGAAATTTGTGCCCCTGTACATTTTCAATGGGCCGCTCGAGTGTTTTGCCTCCAAATGGCATTTATGCGCATGTGCAAACAAATTTGAACTTATTAGTGAACTGGTCTATGCGCACCGCAGTACAATGGTGTCCTGTTCATGACTTCGTCATACACTCCATGCAGTACTGACCACAAGCTTCTACGGTGAAAACTCAGGTCGCGAAATAGCTTCGCTTTTGTGATTCCTTGCTCGCCAGGATGACGTCATCTGCTGCTGGTACTACTTTGTGCATTGGGCTTGGTTTAAGGTGACATCAACCCGGTGAGTATGAGTGCAGTAGGTCTTTTCTTTTTTATGGTAGCATACATCCCCTCTGCAAACTGCCTCGTACGCATATAGGCTGGTAATAGTAACGGAACCAGTCTCTTGTAGTTCTTGCCAAACATGCAGAATTTTGCTGCTCAGAAACAAAGTTTATGTTGAATTTGTTATTTTGTCAGTTTGCTCATGAATTTTTATTATGAGGTATTATGAATTTTGAGGTACAGTAAACAAATAAAGCATGGTTTGTTTCTAGCATTTTTTAATTACTGGTCCCACTACTTCCCCTCAAATTACGCTGTATTTGTACCTAGAGAAAGGACAAAGAAGGGGTAACAGCCCTGGAACTTTAAAGTGGTCGATGAGACGAATAATAGGAAACATTACAATGACGCAGGGTTACTGCCTGCATCTTAACCGGACAAGAGGGGCCAGTAATATCCTAGTGATATTTGTGGTGCGTTGTTGAAATTAACTACAACTTATCGCAGTAACCAGGAAATAGAGAGAAAAAACCTAACGTTAGACCTCCTTTGCCTTCGTGAATAAGCTTTTTAATTTTAATACACTGTTCCATTGACCATACAATGTTTGTAATTTTATATTTGTCCATCCAAAGCTTTAGTATTCAAAGACTTGGTACAAATTTGGCTAAGAGTGGCTAATAACATGTTGACCACCACTGGAAAGCTAAGATAACAAAAAAAAATGTGCTATTCATCAAAAGGAGTGATCATGAGATCTCATAAAATACTCTTTTTTATAAATGCCGTAATAACAATGACTTAAATAAAACACAAAATCTTACAAACTACTAGGCATTTTCCCAAAAATAACTCCAGAAGAAAGAGTTTGAGATTGCAATAACTGTACATGAAACTGTAGCGCACGCAGTCTAACACAAGTATCTACGCAGGCATTAAATTTGATACTGTTGTGAGACCGCACCAAGCACCATCAATAAGACGTGAATATTCAATTTACTTTACTTCACAAAGTTTTAAGGATGCAGATTACCAGCGACAAATGCGGTGATGATCATTAAGTACAAAGGGGCAATGTTGTTTGACTTGAGTCCAGACTCAGACTCGAGTCTGGACTCGAGTCCACTTTTTCATGGACTCGGACTCGGACACAGATGTGGTGAACTTGAACCGCAGCACAGCAAAGCTGTCTCATGATTGTCAAACAGATGGTGCGTATCAAGCGCTCACTGCGCTCTGGCAATGGACATACCAAGCATGCCAGAATGCGGTAAATGGTCAGATGTTATACCCAGGGCAGTTCCTTGTTATCTTTCCTCCATAATAGACCTTTTTATCAATAAACTCATAATTACGCACACATGCGCACAAATGGCCCCGGCGCCAAGAAGTGTGAGCGGGCCATTGAAAAAAAGGGTGCAGGGTGCGACTTTGATGATCATTTTCTTCAAGTTTTTCTTCAAAAAAATCCCATTAAAACTTTTTTGCTATAACTTTCTAATCTAAGTGGGATTTTTAGTTCTTTATAAACAGCTTTATAAAAAGATTTTTCCTGCGCACACGTGATCGCTGTTTCTCAGTATGAGCCCCTTCCATCATAAGTGGTGTAAATTACATCGTTAGTGTTCTTGGGGAATCTGAAGAACCAATTCACTTTCTCCGTGGAATCTGCACTTTGTCTTGTCGTACAACCCCAAACACAACAACTGGATACCATTTATTTCGGCATTACTCGTGCACATGCGTGCATAGTTATGAATTTATTAGTTAAAAGGTCTGTTTGAATAATGGGTAATTCCAGAAATTAGGGGTCCAAAA